AGTTTCAATGCCAAAATGGCTCAGACACGAGAGGACACGTTAATGTTCGTGATTCTGCGAGAGCACGAGTCATGTGGTTCGTCTGAATCTGTAAATCCTTCACTCCTGTTCTTTATTGAATGAGCCGCTACTGTGTCCGCTGCTAAGAAATGCGAACATGTTTCTCTATTCCAAAACGTGACTGAGTGCTTCTAGTTTTGATTCACGCACTTTGAGACATGGCAGAGGCTAATGGAACCAAGGCTTTCAGAGACTACTTTGAGATGCATTTGACAGAGAGGAATGCGCGGTGAACTGCGACACCGGCAAATCAGGCTTCTCCTTCACTTTGAGCTGGGACGCTTTCGCACGTAAAGCAAATGTGATACTCCTCCGCTACAGAAAGAATTAGGGCGCACCAAATGCACTCTTAAAAAGGATGACCATCTGTGCACATTGATGACCAGGAAGGAGAGATATTTAACAAAGATTCATACCGCAATGAAATAGACTTATCCTCCTTTCCACAACAAAAGCAGAACTGGGCGACTTCATTCAAAGAATGGTTTGCTGATGAGAGCAGCAAACTAAGAAGCTCTGCCCACATCCATACAGAAACCTACCGCAAGAACAAAGGAGCAACATTGTTTTTGCTTGGATTCGAACCGGGAACTTTTCGCGTGTAAAGTGAACGCGATTACCACTACACTACAGAAACAGCACCGCCAGCGGGCGCACTCCTACCATCTTCCTACAGCATTGAAATTCGCAGCCGTTCAACGCTTCACCTGTCTCTTTCCTATCGATCGATGTAGTCCAGCGTTACTGGCATTATTGAAAAATAAAAGATATCACGTAAAGCTGTCCAGAAAATATTCACGAGGATGTTGCAGGGTTGCAGGGTTCGGACTGTACCGCGAGGCTGAATCGGCTGGGGCAATTTTCCCTGTAGCGTCGGAGACTGACGGACGAGTCGATTGAAGTTTACAAAATCATGAGGGATATGGATAGGGTGAGGAGTCAAGGTCTTTATCCCAGGGTGGGCGAGTCCAAAACTGGAGGGCATATAACTAAGGTGAGAGTGTGGGTTGGGGTGAGTTGGGGGGGGGGGGCCGCTAAATTTAAAAGCGACCTGAGGGCCATCTTTTCATGCAGAAGGTGGTGCGTGTATGCAATGAACTGCCAGTGGAAGTGGTGGAGGATCGTGAAATTACAACATTTCAAAGGCATCTGGATGTGTGTGTGAATCGGAAGGGTTTAGAGTGATAAGGGCAAAGTGCTCGCAAATGGGGCTAGATGAAATTAGGATATCTTGTCGACATTGGGGATGTGGACCGAAGGTTGTGGGTCCGTTGTCGATATTTCTACGACGAAAGTGATAACCACTGGCACAATGGAAACGAGGAGCGAATGCTCTGTGCTCTCCCACATCGATTTGTACCAAAACGTTTCATTCTGATGCTTTCAACTTAAATGCAGCTCTTCCCCAGCCAGCTTCAGCATAACTACCTGCCAACACGACCGGCTGTTTGCACAAGCGGTAGTGGTGGGATTTAAGCTTTCTTGGAGAAAGGAGCTTGAATCTCGTGCCTTAGACCGCTCAGCCACCGTACTGTACCATTTATTGGTCCAATATGACTCTTTCTGATGTTGCTACTGCAACACGTCATCAGCACAGGTCCAGGGAAATGTTTGGAGGAACCTTATCCTCGTCCATTTTCTTACCTGCACGTTGAAATGTCTGTCTGTGGCATGCTGCAGTGTTCCATCGAAGCCCCACGCAAGCTTGAAGAACAATACCTCATTTTCTGCTTGGGAACCCTGTAGCCCACAATATGGAGTTCAATAATTTTAGGGCCTAAACTCTCCCATGTCCCAGCCCTCTTGCCCACACACCAGGCCTTGTTATCACATAGCCTGCCATTACTCACCCCTGTTGTTATTCATTAATAGTCCCCATTAAACAAGTATTCACTCTCCCAGTCTTATCGTTTTCAACTCCTTGACAGTCCAACTTCTTTTCTCTCTCTTTCGTCTCTATCCTATTGTTTACTCCCTACCCCATCACCTTCCCCTTTTTTTTCTGCATGAAACCTGACGTTTACCCAGCCACCATCAGTTCTGAGGAAGGGTCACCAGACCTGAAACGTTAATTCTTGTTTTTTTTTTGCCTTCACAGATGCTGCCAGTCCTGCTGAGTTTTTCCAGCAACTTTGTTTTTGACCTGATTTACAGATTTTGCAGTTCTTTCGGTTTTTATCATTCAGTTCTGGATATGATCAGCAGTAAACTCTCATACAAATCATACACCATACTGAAAAATACCCATCAACCATTATTATCTATTTCCTATTGGTTTCAGAATGCAGTGAGATTTCTTGTCATGTCCACCATGAATTTCAAACCAGACTCGTAGAAAGACAACGAAATGTTTCCAAACATTGCATATAGATTTTAGTTCAAATCTATTACGTATCTTCTTTCAGCATATTTGCTGTTTGGATTAGTTTATCATCGTTGCCCCTTCTTCACAGTATGAACAAGTGTTAAAATATGCACCATTCCAAAGATTAATAACGTGCACAAGACTGGAGAGAGTGGAAGGGGATAATAGGCACTGGGGACATTTGTGCAACTAATATATTGGAGAAACAGGAAGATCAGCACGCTCTGTCTTTTATACTGCCATCTGTAAGTTTATCACTTTGTATCTTACATTCGCACTCATTGCTTTCCAGGCAAAGATTGGATTTACCATCAGTCTGTATTTACACCAAGCAGCTACTTTATCTGGTAACTGGACAGACAAAGGGAACTCGATTTAAACTCGGGGCAGAAGCAGTCAGCGAATCAGACAGTGGATAGAACGTCATCAAGTATGTCAATGAGAAAAACAAATAATTAGTACAGATAGGATTGACGCACTGAAGAAGACCATACGGTACAGGACCCAGAATAAATCATACAACTCATCATACACACGCCCCTATTCCATGCGATCGTGGATAATCTGATATTCCTCAGACTTCACTTCCATGCCTTATCCACTTAATCCTTGATTGCCTTAACAATTAAAAGTGTCTGTTTGAGCCCTGATTTTACTTATCGACTCAGCCGGACAGTCCTCTGTAGTAAAGTATTCCACAGACTCATTGCTTCTGAGAGAAGAATTCTCCTCATCTCTGTCCTAAGTAGGTGACTCCTTGAGATCATGCCCTCTGGTCCTAAACTCTTCCAAAAAGAAGAAATATCCTCTCCACATTTACCCTATCAAGCCCCCTAAGAATATTAGCAGTTTCAGTGTGGCCTTCTCTCATTCTTTTAATGTCAAATGAGTACAGGCCCAACATACTCAAACACTCCTCACTCGAAAATCCCTCTATGCACCAGACAACACGGCGAACTTTCCATGCACTGACTCAATGCCAACATATCTTTCCTAAGATGTAAGTTCCAATACTGCTCACTGAATTGCAGCTGTGCCTTGTATAACTATAACAAATCCTTTCTATATTTATTGTCTATTCTCTTTGAAATATAGGCTGTATTGAATTTGAATTCTGCCACCTGACAAAGGAGCAGCTCTGCGAAAGCTTGTGATTTCAAATAAACCTGTTGAACTATTGACTGCTGACTCATTATTTAGCTACCCACTTATTTTCGCGTCATTCACACAGTTGACATTCACTTCTAGGTCATTGGTTGTGTCTGGAGGGGCAAATGACTGAAGTGAAATGATGTTGAAACTCTTGTTATTCGGCCAACCTGCAAGAATTTAGAACTATTTTCTTGATGCTCTAGTGTCTTGACTTCAACTGGAGTACCGTCCATGGTCAGGGAATAATGACTTATTTGCTTTGTGCATATATTCTAAAAGAAGATGACTCACAAAGTGTCTGAAAACTAAATGGTCACAGTCGTTCTGGCAGAATCAGTGGAGTGAGAGTTCAACTTTCACATCAACTTTCACATCAAAGCTAGAGATCCCGGTCAGACCATTGATCAAGGAATAACACGGAAGAGAAGCTTTGGAGTGAAAGAGGATGAAAAGCGAGGGACATGAAACGTTGGAAAACAGCTCATGGGAACAGTTTCAAGAGGTGGAGCTCGAAGGCTCATTGTGGGTGCTAATTGGTCAGATTCTTCTGCCTGCCGTTTGAATGGCCCAACACAGCAGTCCTGTTTTAACAATGACAACTCGCTTCAATTCGAAACGTTCATGAATGTTGCTGTCCCAAAATGATTCAATCATTCGCTAAATGAGAGACACCTTTGGTTTCTGGGTTATCGTCACTCATCACACCTTTGTTGCTCTCAGTGAATAGATCTGAATGCCTCTCTGTCGGTATCAAGTGGAGGCTGATTGGAACGTTGACTGAACAGCTCCTTCAGTCAGCATCGGGCCAGTTGGCGAGATTGATCCAATTGCAACCAACCACTCCGAACCATCTTCTCAGGGGCGACTGGGAAGTTGTAATAAATGCTGAAGTACTCACATCCAAGGGAAGAACTTTTTTTAAAAAAAAGAGGCTCGAAGTTTCTTCAGATTGATTAATATTCTAATTCACTTAGGTTTTGGAGTAGATCTGTAGCTCAGGTTGTGGGTGTTGAGGTTGGCTGGCTCGCCGAGCTGGTTTGTTGTTCCGCAGACGTTTCGTTACCGTGCTTGGTAACATCCTCAGTGCAGCCTCTGATGAAGCGTTGGTGTGTTTTCCCGCCTGGTTTTTAAACTCATGGCACTCCACGAAGCATGCTATTAATAAACACATTGAACTCGACCCCACATTCATTCCACTGCGGAGGAAACCCGGAAGTGAGGCAATCCATCGCAACGGACCCCAGAGTTTAAAAACCAGGCGGGAAAACACACCGACGCTTCATGAGAGGCTGCACTGAGGATGTTACCAAGCACGGTAACGAAACGTCTGCGGAACAACAAACCAGCTCGGCGAGCCAACCAGCCTCAATTCTAATTCACTGTAAACACTAGTAATGACGATTTTGGCCATTCAGCAGTCGGTGGTAGCGTGGCCGAGCGGTCTAAGGCGCTGGATTTAAGCTCCAGTCTCTGTTGAGTCGTGGGTTCGAATCCCACCGCTACCAAAAGCGTTGGTGAGGTGGACGCAGAGCAAGTGTGTTTCTGTTGCTTCTACTTTTCATCTCGGTGTTTGCTGTTCATCGGGCCTCTGACTGCTTTGTTGATGAAAGTGGTAAAATGGGCAACAGGTACTGAAAACAGTGAGAGCTCCAGCTGTACAGTGCCTCCTCAGATCTCCGCTTGGGGAGTTTGAATGTCATGTTGGCGCCAGTTTCTGTGTCTCAATTGGTCAGTTGCTGAAAGAGCTGTGGCTCGAGACCACCCATGTACACAGCCTCAGCGGTTTCACATCAAACATTTATACCGACCACGTACCGACATTTCACCCATTAGAACTCTATGATGAGACTGGATTTAAGTAGCACCATCAATGATTCACCTCGGCTCCACTCGGATTGGGACAGGGACAGGGACAAGTAGCAGGCTAGTACACCGTAGTCTCCATTCAGAAAGTGGTGTGATCCTTTAGTTATAAATTTTGTGTCTGTCACCTCTCTCACTGACACCTGATGAAGGAACAAGGCTCCAAAAGCTTGACCATTCAAATAAACCAGTCCAACACCGGCACTTCCATATTCGGGATTTTGCACAGTTTGTGGACGTCCGTTTCCGCGGGTCAATGGATCAGCATCAGGACGTAAATTGAAAAGATGCTGTCTCGAGACCATGCAGATACAATGCTTCAGTTGCTTTGCGTCAAGCAATTAAGACTCCAAGCCCTTTCAATTAACCCAGGCAAAATCCTTGACAAGATCAAATTCAAAACACACCCATCATAGACTCTCTATTCCCCTGCTCCACACAGAGTGAAACAGAGACAAGGAGAGGGAGTTGATCCCTCTCTCCAATTTCCCACTGCCAGCAGAAAGCGGCCACTGTAGCTTCAATCAGCGGCTTCCTGCCCATCCCTGGGACACAATCTACAGAAATTCATTCCTCAGAATGGTTCTACTCGTGTGAAAGGGGTGAAAAAGCTTTCGTTAAATTTGGACAAGGGCTGCAACAGATTCTCCCGATCTTTTGAATCTTTTTAAACAAACCCCGTCTCCAAATTAGAAGTGGCAAGATTTTGTGATGAGAACATGAATATAAAAACGAACTCTGTTCACATTTAACGAAAAAAGGGAAAAACAAACCTTGTTCGGATATAAAGGCGCAGCGCTGTGAGGCAAATGTAATAACCACTACACCGCAGAAACACAGCGGGCCCACCGACCCTATTTTCTTAACGTTGTCTTGGTCTATTCTGCCCAGGTTATCCAGTCATCTATTACATTATAGTTTCTAATGCATGAGACCCTCTCTCAGCGGACACCTCTCCCTGCCGTATTGAGTCTGTAGTTTGGTCATTCACTGAGTGACAGTGAGTTCATTTCTTTCTGGGGCCTGTGAGAATTTCCACCACCTGCTGCATCCAACATCCAAAGGAGTTCTTTACATGTCGTTTGAAATTACTTCTGATGCAACAGTGTTAACGCCACCATGTCATTTCCTCCACCAGCCAGAAATGCGTTTGAAATACCACATTCCTGTTTGTCCTTCCAGGTATTTCAGAGAGGTCTTTTGGAAGCAGCTGATGTGAGGAATGTTCCAGTTTAGCACGAAGAATGAGGTGGAGCAGTATAAATTGCAGAGTGACGAGGAAACGATGGGGCAGTAACACGGGCAGGGAAGAGACCGAATGACTCTTCTTTGCTGTAAACAGACTCTGATTTTGAAGTCTGAAAATTGAACAACATAAGCTCGGTGCGTGAAATCCTTGCTTTCTTGGGACTGGTCTGTCCCGAGGCTACTGTAACTTCCGGGGGAATGTATCTGATTGCTTCCGTTTGTGGGTGAAAATGAGGTTCAGTTCCCCGAGGGGGACATGAACACAGTTTTACCATCTCAAACGTCAGTCCCATTTATTGAATCTTTTGAGATTAAAACGTCACAGGGAAAATATTATTGAGATGAACACTTGAAACACCAGAGCATACAAGGCTACAGGCCAAGTGCTGGAAACGGAAATTGATGAGCCTATAAAAACTCAATGATTCGATTATTTTGGAAGAGAAAAAAAGTCAAAAGTTGTGTCATTAAGAGACAATGCACGTGCTTCTGCCGTCATTCCTGGTGGCCTTGTGGTTTGAATTTAGCACTTTCACCTCCGCGACCTGGGTGTGATTCCCTGTCAGGGAATCAGGATTAATTGTTCCTGACACGGACAATAGCAGAGGTAAAACAGTTCAGACGGCAATCTTTTCAATGTCTCGGATTAGTTAATGTCCCCGAGAACATGAAAGTCAATGTCGCAGCCTCTTAAAGATGGGAATAGTGCCTGAACTCTCTCTGTTCGGTCAGACAGTTCACCCTTCATTCTCCTCTGAAGCCACTTCCCAAAGAGATTCTAAAGATTCTTGACGCTGAGACTGGGCGATTTGTTTTGTTTCCTTGCCATTCCCAATAGCTGTACTGATTGGGTCGGTGGGTTTGGGAAACTAAAACGTACTCATGTGCAGCTTGTGGGACAATTTCAGCTTCCCTTTCTCTGATGAGACTGGGGCATTGGTGACATTCGCTGACAGGAGACAGAGAGAGTTCTCGTTCCTGCAGAAATTCAAACGTCATCGCGTCTTCAGAGCAGTGAGACAGATGAGTCGGGAGGTGTAATAACCTTTGACATTGGGGTCAAGCCAGGTCGGAGTCAATCCTACAATCTCCGAGCTTGTCGGTAGGCGCGCTTTCCATTGCGACAGCAGCCCAGCGCATTATTGCGCCTTACACACTGCAGTTATGGTGTTAACACGGGCACGAGAAGCAACAAGAACATTCATAACGTGAGCAGCCAGCAAAGATAATCACCGTCACTGATTCGGTTCACCGGCCCCGACTTCGTGATGCGGCGAGTTTCATTGGCAAAGAAAACATATTTGTCCACAGGGAGTTGCCATTCACCTTAAGCAGTCCGCTCAGCCATTCAATGAGATCGCTACTGTTCTGATAAATCTCAACTCCGCTTTCCTGCTTTTCCTACACAACATGAGGAAAATTCAAGTCTAATCACAACATCGTATATTCCTGTTATCTTTCAGAAGTTTACTTTGCTTTAATGACCTGTGTGTGTTTGCAGGAAATTCCGGACTCAATATTGAGTTCAATAATTTCAGGGCCTAAACTCTCCCATGTCCCAGCCCCAACCCCACACACAAGGCCTTGTTACCAAATAGCCTGCCACTACACACCCCCTGCTGTTAGTCACTAACAGTCCCCATTAACAACTATTCACCCTCCCAGCCTGATCGTTAGCAACTCCTTTGTCTGTCCAACTGTCTTTCTCTCTCTTTGGGCTCTATTCTATCGTTTACTCCCTACCCAACCCACCTCCCTATTTTCTGCATATAAACTGACGTTTTCTCAACCACCATCAGTTCTGAGGAAGGGTCACCGGACCCGAAACGTTAACTCTGTTTTCTCCTCCACAGATGCTGCCAGACCTGCTGAGCTTTTCCAGCAACTTTGTTTTTGCTCCTGATTTACAGCATCCGCAGTTCTTTTGGTTTTTCTTCACCTTCCTCGGTTCACTTCACCGAGGCACTGCGCAATCTAACACTCATTTTTACAATGACACCGTTCAGTCTGTCCTGCTACGGTCACTCTCGATGAGTGAATGTGCTCCAGATTTACTAATGAAACCTTCAAAACAGTCGATCCACTTAGATACTGCGGTTGTGAGACCAAACATCATGGAGCAGCTTTTTCCTGACATGTACCAGTGATTATTGGAGTATCAGACTCAGGAAAAGGACACAGGACAACATTGATCAAAAGAGACTTCGATGGAAAGACCATTTCCTGTGGTTTCTGCGTCATTTATTTCATTTGTTCACTCGGCTATGGCTAGAGTATTGTGTGCAGTTCTGCAAATTCACATTACAGCAGGATGTGATAGCACTGGAAACGATGCAGAAGAGATTTACCAGGATGTGGTCTGGGCTGAAGCGTTTCAGTTATGAAGAGAGATTGGACAGACTGGGTTTTGTTTTTCTTAGAGCAGAAGAGATTTACAGGAGACAAGACTGAGATGTATAAAACAATGAGTGTTATTGATAGGGTAGACTGAAAGAAACGTTTTCTCTTCATGGCAAGATCGATCAAAAGCGGGGCAGAGATTTAAAGTAAGATGTCGGAAGGTTTGAGTAGATGGGCAGAAAACTTTTTTCAGCCAGTGCGTGTTTGGAATCTGGAAGCCACTGTCTGTAAGTGTCCTAATGGCGGATTTCCCAGTAGTTTTAAGAAGCATTCAGATGTGAATTTGTGATGCCAAGGCAGACAAGACTATGGACCAAGCGATGGAAAATAAAATTAGGATAGGAAAGCAGTTTTATTTGCCTAATGCACGCTTAGGGGGCTCGGGGGTGGCGTGGGTCGGGGGGAGGGGAGAGGTGGGGGCGGTGGTTGGTGCACGCGCCGTCCTTGGTGGCATAGTAGTTAGTATCCCCGCCTGTCACGCGGGAGACCGCGGATCAATTCCCAGTTGGGGAGGCTCTAAGCATTTTTGATTCAACCTTGGGTGATGTCTGTGTGGAATTTGTGCCTTCTCCCCTTGTCTCCATTGGGATTTCTTCTCACAGGCAGAACATATGCAGATTAGGTGAATTGGCCATTGGAAATTGCCCGTAGTGTGCAGGGATGTGCAGACCAGATAGTTCAGCCGTGGTAAATACACGTTTACAGAAAGTTCTCGGGTCTGAGGAAGGGTCACCGGACCCGAGAGTTAACTCTGAGTTTTTCTTCACAGATGCTGCAGACTTGCTGAGCT